ATGATCATAGAATCATAGAATGGCCTAAGATGGAAGGGACCTTAGAGATCATTTAATCCAGCCTCCTTGCCACCAGGTACGCCACCTCTCGACTAGATCAGGCAACACATGGGGACCGATCTTGGAGGTCTTTTCCAGAGTTAATGGTTCTATGATTCTATGGCTCAACAAGCGCTGCTAAACTCACTCATACACCTTTGCAGTCTACCTCCCTCGGCACCTCCTATGCCTTGTCTGGTTTGTTTTGTCCCAGGGAAGTATTCCTCTGATGGACCTCGCTGCCTCTGGTAAAGTGACTCTCATTCAAAGTCCTCTTAGTATTTCTGCAGGATTGCCATGAGGTGTAGGAAAGGAAGTCCAACAGGGCAATTGCCTTCCAAATAGCAAGTCCCAACTTACTATATTATTACACCTCCTACCAGATAATCTCTAACTGTAAGACCCTTGACAGTCTGATTCTCCTTCATGAAGTGTTTTGTAGAAAGCAGCTGCTTTTTAGCTGGGGTTTGCTGGCTGTCCACTGAGGAATAGAGCATTAGTGCAGCATTGGAAAAATACCCTTTCTTTTCCTTTCTGAGACTCAGGTGTTGAGCTTGACCCATGTTACTTCCATGCTTCACACTTTCATCTTTGAAAAGTGGGAGGAAGGGAAGCACTGTGGCATATAATAAATACATAGTCCCACTTTACAGCTTCAGCCAGCCATAGTGAGGACCAGAGATGCAGGACATTTAAACCTGGCACGATTTTGACAGTGAGACAGAATCACTGCCCTTGTCGCAACAGCTGAGCAAAGATCCTAACAGAAGACTGCAGCTTACATTGTGTATTGCCATAGACATTAGTAGTTCCATCATATAGGAATGTTAATGGATGGAACAGTAGTTTGAGGAACGAATGTGTGAGACAGAACATGATTTCATTTACTAATGTGCTCCATTTATTATGTTGTTCACTGTAGCAAAACATTTTTTTCAACAAGGAGCTATGGCAACATGGCAAGTAAGATGGAAAGAACTTTCGTTCTGCTTTCCCTTCTCTCCATGTGAAAAGTTCTTGCAATAAAATTTACAGAATTTAGTCAAAGCCAGTATCTTTTAACAAAATTTTGATTGTCGTGAAATTCCCCATGGAACATTTTCTTTGTCAGAAAAGTTTCACTCGCTGTTGTTAACATGAAATTGTGCTACTCTTGTGCAGTTATCTTTGCAGGAAAATGGAGTCTGTTCTCCCAGTAGGGGTTCTACCAGCATAAACCAATTTCCTACTATGCTGGGGGTTGTATAAAACGACGAGTTAAAATAGCAACCGTGAATCTGAACACTTGAAACAGTAGTAGAACTGTTTAGCCCACGCTCTTGTCAGCATTGAAGTGTAGTGTCTTGCAGAGGGGTGTCCTTTGCCCAGACCTGCCTCACAAGGTGCTCGTGTTGCTGTGTGGAGGAGAAGGCTTCCATCATTCCTGTTTGTTTTGGTAGCACTGAAGTTGCTTGAAAGGTGGGAGAGCTAAGAACTTCAAGCCACGTGCATTTAGCACCAGCTGGAGGACTGTCTCACACTTCCAGAGCAGAGAAGGCGAGAATTAGACCCTAATTGATTTCTTGCTTAAGAAGAAATGTCATAAAAATTAACCATTTCCTCCTAAATGTCTCCTATATGTATATGTCTACACTGTAAGTTTCAGAGCAGTTTTGTTTTATGAGGCATCCAGACAAAACATGGCCATGGAAAAACACTTTCTGATGGAAGAAGATTTAAAAAAAAATTCCTTTATCTCAAATACAACTCTATTTTAAATTGAATTTTAAGAGGTGAACTAAAACCATCAAAGATTTCTTCCCAAATGAAATCTTTGCTGTTGTTTCGAAAGTTGTGAATAGTTTAATATAGGGTTTAAAACTGAATGACTACCTTTTTCCTCAACTATAATAATTTTAACAGGAAACTAATAAATGTGGAGAAATTGCCCAGGTGTATAGAAATTTTCAGTGCTGTAATCACCAAAAGAAAGAATTTGTTTTATGTGAAGAAGAGAATTGACAGACTCAGACATCAAATTCCAGTAAATTATATAGAACTATGTGAAGCACATGCATCAGGCAGTCCCTTAAAATAACTACCTTCTTCTATGACCTGGAAAGGCATGAAAGATTTCTGCCCTATATTTCAGGAGAAGGTCAACATGTGAATGGTCTTACTGAAAAATTATAGCAAGGGATTATGGTTGGGTTTAAACTGACCAAAACAGCGATAATGCAGTTATATAATAATCAGGCTTTGAAACTTTACTGTTCTCCATTAAAGCACTATGTGTTGGAGGTGTTGCACGGCTGTTACTTGTGAAAAAGGTTATTTTGAACTTGTCATATTTGGCTGGCAAATATCACTCAGTACTCTATTAAAGCCTAAGTAGTTTCCTCCCTTCAAAGCTCAAAATTTAAAACAAATGCTCAAAGAATAAAAAAAAATATGTAGCTTTTTTATTACATCTGATTTTGAAATGTTTCATTTAATGTATTTATTTGAGGTATTCTATGATTCTATGATTCTCTTTACCCAGATACAGACTAATATGTGCTCATAGCCAATTTGGTGTGCTTTTAAGTGTCACAGAGGTGCAGAGATTAACCAGTTACAAGTACCTGCTTTCAGCAACGGTGACATTTAAAGGTTAGTTTGCAACAGTAGAGCATGGGCGGAAAGCAGTACTGTCTTAAGATGGTAGGATTTTCTGCCATGCATGAGCAGCCCACTCCTGACCCCACGTGGCATACAGCCCCTTGAAGACCCTGAGAAACTCTAAAAGTCAGTGTTTCCCTTAGCAGTCTCTCCTAGATATAAAAGCATGTGTTTTTGTTGTTGCTCTTCAGAAATCCACTAGGCTGATAAGGGTTGTAGCTGAGGCTTAGGGGTGACAGGCTCTGTTCACAGCCCCACACTGGGTAAAACAAATAGGATAGGCCAGATCCAGATCCAGATTCCTTCTTTCCCTGTTTTACAGCAGATACTTGATCCATATCTGTTCTAGGAAAGTACTTCATCGCTATGGTCTTTTACAGTATTTCTGTAAATTTCTACAGTAATGTTTTCCTTTGTGTAAGATTCAGTGATTTACACAGGAACTGGGATTCAAGTCTTCCATAAGTAGACTGGAGCAACTGGGTGATTTTGACCTCAGGCACGAGGAAGAACATGTATAAACAGAGGAACAACCTGAGTACAACAGTCTCAGAGGGTTTGCTTAGGACTGTGCTATATAGCCCAGTGTTTAACAGACCCCTGTGGAAGGAAAGAGGGAAGGAAGGACACCCAGTGTTAAAATCATGTTCCAAATCAGATTGCATGGCAAAAGCAGCTTAGGTGCTTCAGCAGTAGGAACACCTGGGAAGCCCACAGAGGTGTAGGACTTTAACTCTGGTTTTCTCAGTCCATTTTGTGCAGGATTTGTTGGCTCCTAAAGAACGTGTCTTCTTGTCTACTTTATTACTGATAACTAAGTGGATGTAATTGATGTTTTAACTAAAACCAGGGGTCTGTTGTGGTTTTTTTTGCTTCCCAATTGTTCATATAGAATAATTAAATTGAACTGGTGCAAGTCAGTTAGACAAATTCTGAAAGAGCAATAACAATTGAACTGAATTGGCAACAACCGAGTTATTCTGGACTTAATATTTCTGAGAAGCCTATTTTTAAGAGATTTTAATGATGTCAGAACTACTTAGTGAGGACTTTCCTTTTTAAGCCAGAAGCTCTTTATCTAAATTTGTGTGCATAACACAGCTCCATGAATTTAAAGTTAAGCATATAATTAGGTATTTTTAGGATTGAGGTCTTGCTGCTTTTTGTATTTTTTGCACCTTAAAATGATAGTTATTTGTGTGTTTGCTCAAGTTATTTACTCAAGGGTGAAGCATAACTTTTATCTGTAGTTCCAGTTGTCTATTATTTCCTCAGAAATTACTTTTTTTACAAGAAAGGCTGAAACAAATCAATTTCTTTAGTAAGTCTATGTACTAGATAGTACATGTGAATTGTTAAGACCATATTGTTAACTTTTTTCCCCTTTATTACTTTCTGGGAATTCAAGCACACCAAACAATTCCCTGATGGAATTATGGTTAAAATGAATTTTATGTCTTTCTTTTTTATTTTTAAAAATACATGAGAAGACTGTTCCTTCTGTCAACAATATACAAAATAATTTTATTATAGTAGAAAAAATGTTGCTGAATTTTTAGTCAATTCTAGTTCATTATCAGTTTTGTCAGAATAATTTAGTAGATTGTAGGCTTCCTCAAGAGACATTGAAACTTGAGGCTTTCTGTAGTGGAAGAAGTGTTGTGAGTTGTGAGTTCAAGGTATTTTTGTTGTTGAAATCCCTATTCCTGGAAATAGTTGTAGACTGCTTGACTGTGCAAATACTGGTATAAACTTAGACTTTCAGCCTCAAAGTGATTACTTAAGAAGAAGGGAAACTGGAAAACCGGGTTAGCTGGTATAAGGTTAATTTGTCTAGTTCTAAAGGGGGGCCTCTCAATGATTAGCGGCTAGAGTCTGTACAGCTGGAAATGCTTTAATTTGAAATGCAATATAAAAACTTCATTGACTACGGGCAGAAACATTTAAGAATTATTTTTGAAAAATTACAGGTTTAGTTTTCTCTCTATAGCACATCCATTGAATTGTCTGAGTTATGGTTGTAGAAAGCTATTTTAGCATGGGCAAAATCAGGGTACCAGTCTTAAAATGGGCACCTCTTGCATAAGTACTATTTGTGAGAAAAGAAACACCCTTGGTGTCCCCATAGGAATGTCAGCTGGTGTCTCTCTGCATCAGAACAGATAAAGGAAATTATTAATCAATCACAATGTTTTTGTGAGTCTTTTAATTAATTTTACTGCCTTCGTGGATATTTAAAGAAGGGGAGAATTTAAGAAACCTGCTTTAGAATTTCTAAATATAAATCCAAGTCCCCCTCCTGTCTTGTTCTTTGTTTCCAGAACACCACAGAATTCCTGCTTTGGAAGAGGCAGGTTGGTTGCTGGGGAACATCAACCAGACTGGCTACTTTAGAGTTAATTATGATATTAGGAATTGGAGGCTGCTAATTAATCAGCTAACAAGGAACCATGAGGTAAGCTCTCTTCTCATCCCTAAAATCTGCTTTGATAGGTGAACCTTCACTGTTTCATCACCCTAAATGGTTCCTTTTTTGTGCTTGCCTCTCACAGGTTATCTCTGTCAGTAATCGAGCAGGCTTGATCGATGATGCATTCAATCTAGCCAGGTATGTTTTCGTAAAGATAATCTATCCTCATACACATTGCCGCAATAACTCTTGCAATCGTTAACTCAGCAGTTGAGTGTGTTTCAAAGTTAAATGTGTTTTAAACACACTTTAGTTCTTTTCCTCTCCTTTTTTTTTTTTTCTTATGTGGCACATAAACATGGTCTGCAGCATATTCACTGCTCTTGATCAATAATTGCTGTAGGGTATTTCCGAGTCTGGAGAGGTCTGATCAATTTTGCAAGTTCAATTTAAAACTTTGAGAGAAATAATCTCTTTCCTCTTTAATGAATGAGATTTTTTTCTCCTCTTTCTCTCTAATGCCCCACCTCTTCTTTTTGTATAGCTGACCCTTATGTGGTATTTAATTTGTGATGGAAGGCACCTTCAAGCTTCAGTAAATTTTTCTCCCTGACTTGTACTGTTATATCATTTTTCCAATATCTTTCTTTTCTTGTAATCTGCTAGAATAGACTCTTTTTCTGCATGATGCTTTTCACACAGCATGGGAAATCAAGTTCTATTGAGCATTTCTGGAATTTACACAACATTTTGTGTTTCACTATGATCACAGTAATTAACACTTATACTGCTGGTTGGGTAATGCCTTCTTTACAACATGAGGCAATGGAATTGTCCCCATTTTGAAATCAGGAGGTGAAAGTGTTGGTAGTGAAAGTTGAAATGAGAAAAGTAGTGGAACATTTCAAACTTTTTAATTCTTGAGCTACCTGGGAGCACTGCATCAGTAAAGCACTGTGACATCAAAAGCAGCAGGAAAAGAATTTCTGATATTGCTGGCTTCTCTGTTTGCTAGAGTATTTACAGCCATATTTGAGCATGGACTTGCAAGAATCGGCATCACTGAGGTACATTTCACTACAAACAGTCACTGGAGATGTTTGAGATTCAGGCACAGTATCATGCAGAAATTACGGTTCAGTGATATTCCAGCATCACTGCAGTAAAACACAGTTGTGTGCCCTACCACTGCTTCTGCTGCCAGTGCTAGACTGAATATATGACAGAAACTGATGATTAGCCCTTACTTAACAGTCCAGAGATGTACTAAAGGAGGAGATATCATGGGGAGAGAAGGAGTATCCGTTTGCTTTTTGCACTGCCCTTCGTTCTTCTCTTGTAGCACCTTCCTATTGGCAACGGTAAAGGACTAGAAATAGGTCATCACTGCAGACTTCAGTGGAGCGTGATCTGTGTACTTTCTGGCTAGTACAATATTGCAGACTATTCTAAAATATCTAGACTTGCAGAGCATTTTGAAATATCAAGAATATTAGAAGAACTACTAAATGTTCAGTAAGATAACAGTATGTTCCAGTTTTATTTGGGTTTGGCACCTCTGAGAAGTGTCCAGTTACACAGAATCAGTGTAGTACTTTCTTCTTTTTCCGTGTACTGAATACAGTCAGATGTGACTAAACTTCCCTAAAACATAGACACTGAAAAAAGCTGTTTCCTAAGCTGATTCTTGTGAGTGTTTTTCTTCTGAGCTCTTGGATGTCTTATTCATGAAGCATAAAGATAAGGTCTTGACTAAGGTCCAGTCTGCACCATCTGGCCAAGTTTTGTCTACCTAAAAACCACCCAGAGATTAGATGAGTAATGAATTACCCACTTGTATCCAAAGCAGTTTTATGGTGATACTGGATCCTGCTGCTTTTTCAGAGGTAAGTTGCAGTAGACGGCTGCTGCATTTGCTACTCAGGCACCATAGAGAAAAGTAGTTGAGATAAGTATTTACAGTGCATACAACTGTGCATATATAGATATTACATGTGAGGAAGTTCCAATGGACACATGTAGCTAGGCTCCCGTTTCTCTAAAATCTCTGCACAGACTTCTGTCAGTGATATTACCTTGAGTATGTGCCTTACAAGTAAGTCTGAGTTGAGGAAAGATCTGCATGTTTGCAAACAGCATACTTACGCTCTGTATTTCAAGATTAGCAATAAGGTACGTAGACCTGGTGTTACAATTTAACCCCAGCTGGCAACTAAGCCCCACGTAGCTGCTTGCTCACTCACTCCCTCCGTGGTGAGATGGGGGAGAGAATTAGAAGGGTAAAAGTGAGAAGACTCATGGCTTGAGATAAAGGCAGTTTAATAGGTAAAGCAAGAACTGTGCAAACAAGCGAAGCAAAACAAGGAATGCATTCAGCACTTCCCATAGGCAGGCGGGGAGTCAGCCATCACCAGGAAAGCAGGGCTCCTTCACGTGGAACAGTGGCTTGGAAAGATGAACACAGTGACTCTGAACATCCCCCAGTTCCTCCTCCTTCCCCCAGCTTTATGTACTGAGCATGCCGCCCTATGGTCTGGATACCCCTTTGTTCAGCTGGGGTCATCTGTCCCGGGTGTGTCTTCTCCCAGCTCCTTGTGCACCCCCAGCTACTCACTGCTGGGACGGTGTGAGGAGCAGAAAAGGTCTTGATGCTATGTAAGCACTGCTCAGCACTAACTACAACATCTCCGTGTTACTGTCTCCAGCACAAATCCAGAACATGGCTCCGTACTAGCTACTTTGAAGAAAATTAACTCTACCGCAGCCAAAACCAGCACACTTACCTAAACTTGCTATGTAGAGTATGCTTTTTGTTGATCTTTATTTACTTTATTCATCTACCCTATTAAAAAGCCCCAAACAGTTATAGTCGTGCTGAAGTTTTGGCTAGCTGACTATATGGTACCTTTTTAAGAAGAGTTTGGTGTTTTTTGTTTTCATTTCTCTTCTCCCAGACAAAGAAAGGCTGGGAATAGGCCTAATCCTTGCTCAGCTCCTTTATCATGAGTAGAACTAGAGAGGCATTAAGAGGCTGGGCCTATGTTGGCAGCAAGCCTTGATGGCCGAGTGCCAGAACTTCTGGGAGTACAAAAGCAGGTGGAAGAGCTCTTGCTGGGACAAGCAACAGGGAATTGCTGATGCTCCAGTGTGGCACAGCTGCCCCTGCTGTGTTGGGTGCTCTGATGTGACACAACAGTGTTCTTCAAGCAGCTCCAAGGGCTGTCAGAATCACACAGACTCTTTGAGTTTCCTCAAAAAGTTAGTGTTCAGAAGGCCACCACCAGCCTAAAAGTAGCTTAACTTTCCTCACCTTAGCAGTGAGGCGCAGTGCAAAAAGCCGCTTTTGCTTTCTTTTGGAGCAGTACCATGATTTGGATGTTACCAGACCTCAGGTTTGCAGTCCTGATGCAGTGTTATCTCTGATGCACAGCACATGTTTTCCCCTACCTGTTTAATGTTACATGATGGGGAGATTAAACACATATGGTTGTCTCTGACTGTGACATGAGAAGAGGTGAGTAACCTCATTGACCAGGCATAGCGGTAGTAATTGGTAGTTTAGACCTGAATTCTGAGAAGACTGGCTATTTTAAGGGTAATTCAGTTCTCAGTTGTGGTCCCTAGTTGCACTGGTGTGTTATCTTCCTGTCTACAACTATAAACACAGACATTTTGAGAGGAAGGACTGTGGAATACATACTTTTATTTTAATCCCTAGCTATTATTTTCAGTGATAAAATAATGCAAAAATGAAAACATAACTTCTTAAATTCATGCTGAATTTTCTAACATATACAGTTCTTTTTACTGCACTGAACAGATACTATTTCTTCAAAATATCCTGTCCATTTTAGAAACTTCCGAAGTACTCCCTAGTGTGTTGTTCAACTTCATAGAATACCAGGTTGGAAGTAACCTCAAGGATACTCTAGTCCAGTCCTTTAAGGTAAAGAAGTACAGTGTAAATGAGATGGCCCAGCACGCTATCAAGCTCAGCCTTAAAACTTTCTAAAGTTGAGGAATCCACCACTTCTCTTGGAAGATTATTCCAATGTCTAATTGCTCTCATGGTGAAAAATTTTCCTCTAGAGTCCGATCAGAATATCGCCAGGAGCAACATGCATCCGTTACCCCTTGTCTTATCCATGTGACTCCTTGTAAAAAGGGAGTCTCTGTCTTCTTGGTAGCCACCCTTTAGGTACTGGTACATGATAATAAGGTCTCCTCTGAGCCTTCTCTTCTGAAGGCTGAATTAACCCAGTTCTCTCAGCCTTTCTTCATATGGCAGGCCTTCTAGTCCTCTGATCATCCCCATGGCCCTTCTCTGGACCCTTTCCAGCCT